AGCTTAGGATTATACATTTAAGTTAAATAGTTATTAATAATTATTATATTTGATATGCTGATGAATCAAATTTAAATGTAAATTAATATATATTTTATCAGTATTACATCATTAAGTTAACCAAATATAAATATTAATAATTCAAATTTTCAAACTGAGAGAAAACTTAGAAAGAATAACATAATTTAGCCAAAAAGAATGTAATTATTATTATAGTGATATCAATTGCAAGATAAATATTGTTGAATGATTATACTTTAATAAACAAAATTTAAGACATTGCATTATAAGGAATCAAAATAGTGGCTTAATAATAATAATTAAAAAAATGATCATTATTAATGATATAATACTTCAAAATAATAATAGTTAGATAAATCCATATTTTATTAGGGTCTTAATTAATTGTATATTTCTATTTTTTTATCAGTTTTTCCTCTTAAATCATAGATAGTTATAATCATAGGTATAGCTCATTAAGACATATAAAAATGGTTCTAATACATAATAAACACTATTTTAATATTAAGATTATTTTTTAATTAATAGATCTAATTGACCTATTAAATGAATTAGAAGGATGCTTTTAGCTTCATGTTACGTATTAATTATAAAACCTTTTATTGTGCGAAATTAGGTGCAATAAGGTATTTAATAATGAGTTTTATTAAAAATAAGCAATTTTAAATTATTTACTTTCATTCCTCTCTAATATTAATTCATTTTCAGATTATAAATTTTTTTATCGCATACCAATACATTATTCAAAATTAAAATTCAATTATCAAACATATAATATTTACCATAAGAATTTAATTATTTCATCATTTAATTATGATTTTTTTTAAATAATCAATATGAATATTTCATTTAGTAGAATTCAATAAATTCTACATTCATCAAATTTGAAATTCATGATTAAATACAAAAGAGTTGAAATTCTATATCCTCTAATTTCTACATTTATCCATTATACTATTATCTAAAAATTCTCCTTCTTATTACATTCTGATACTAGAATAATTCTATCATTTCCACATGAAATCAAATTGCTTTATGATGGACTCAAACTAATACTCGAAACCTATTCATCGTGCTCTAAAATTGTCTAACTAACTCATCCATTTAGTTGTATTACCAACAATACCATTAATTAGTTCAATTTTGATATTCTAAAAGACCCTCTGAAATTCCTTTTAAACTTCGACGAGAGAATGATCTTAACTTGTTGGTTCTTAATGTCTTCATATTGGTTTACTTTATCTCTCCGAAAATAAGAAATAAGTTATAAATTTTCCATTTTATTTAGTATAAATTTTGAGAGATTTTTCAATAATTAAGATATTAATTTTTCTTTTTTCAAAGAAATAAATATTATATTAGATTTAAAGAAAATGATAAATTATTATTAAT